CGCGAGCCTCGTGCTGTGCGTCCTCCCGTTGCCGCCCCATCCTCTCATTGTTTCAGTCTGGGTTGGGATACGCCGCTGACGACAATGCTGGCCTGCCCTGCCAAGGGATGTAGCGTGCTCAAGGCTGGTCCGGCTATGCCCCCAAGCGAGCTAGCTGCGCCCACGTTCGCGTCGCTCCCCGCAGCTATGCCCCCAAGGAAAAGTTCCAACTCATTCATCATGCCTTAATTGTGCTTCACCAAAACAATACACCTCACTTTAGAAATAATTTTCTTAAGGCCAGTCAAATGTTCATAAATGCAGATAATACCCTTCAGGATTTGGCATTAATAAATTCATTTTTCTCCTATTTTACATTTATTATTATCATCATCTTCATTATTGTGGTTCACCGGATCAAACTTTGTTCAATTGGCACATATAGGTTCATTTTTGAAGTACACCTAAACATGATCAAGCCATTAATATAGTGGACCCTGCTGAATTATCGATCATAATAAAGACATTTCTAATTGTTTGTAGAAATATCACAAAAGATACATCTGCATAACTTACTTAAGCATACCACATATGGTATATTTAATAAATATTCTTAAATAATTATATTTAGGTCTCTGTAACTATATCTATGATAAAATTAATTATTATAAATGTATCTAAGGATATCACATTTAATAGATAATGACAAATGTATGGATCAGTTTAGGATATGAGTCCAAATATGTATTTCTGCGCTCAATCTCTTTCATATTCTCCGGTATGTTTGTGCTTACCTTGCTTTGAACATATAGCCAATACAACAAAGAGACCATGCCTGGAGTTTGTCACGGAATACAAATTATCTTTCACGTTACTTTAACATGTGATGGTACTATGCTTTATGCCTTTGTTCTCACTATAAACGACTAAGCTAACCGACTTGCAATATTATTGCACACGATATAATATTATTTACATCAACCTACCAGTTCACTACAATGACCATGCAACCAACTCACTCGCGAGATGAACATTAATTCAGTGTATCCGTCTAACAATATGTGTAAACCCAATAATATGTGAAATAAATCTGATGGATCAATCAATACAAACAATATCAAGTGTCCGATTGTTCGTTCCGCGACCTAAATTTTATTCCACCTAATGGTTTACAAGTCTATGCCATATTCAAACATCAGTCACAAGTAGACTGGCAAATTAGTGTACAAACGCCGACATGCAGACTCATAGTTTGAGTTATAATATTTCACCGAATTTGTTTACATTTAAGATGTAATAAAATGCTCGAGATGAATCTGATGGCTAAGCTTGGTTGATCAAGACTTCAGAAAATTGAAACCTCAGTTGCTGGCAATATAAACATATTTTTTTTATTGTATAGCGAGGTGGTCAACCAACTATACTTACATACAAATTGAGCATTAGTCTATAAAACCACAAAAATGTAGCAATTATCAACCTGGCAATCGATCAAAGCTGACATGGGCATGTACCACTCATCTTATATGTCAGATTAATTCTTTTATTTTCGCTAAAAGTCAGGCACGACAATTGTTGGATACAAAAACACATGCAAACTGTCAACTGGCCAATATAATATAAAAATTGATAGGTGCAGGTTAGGAAATATGTAGATTTGAGGAGAAACATATGCCTTATTAGAAAAAAAAGCGAGAGAGTTTCTAGATTTCTTTAAGGCCATTATTATCGCCCAATCGGCAGAAGTTAAACAAAATCTCTGCATTATGGTTCTGTATCACACAGTCCTAAAACAAAGATCAAAAAAGAAAAACGCATTTAAGATGGGATAAAAACACTCTAGATGAATCTGATGCCTAAGCCGTGTCAAAAAGACTTGAAGGCGAACTTAGCCGTTGATCAATCATGAATATGTTCACTTAATGTATAGATTGGGTCAGCTAGACAATTGCTTTTCGAGAAAAGAAATACAAAGTAGTCTATAATGCCATAATAGTTTAACCAGCGCTACCTACAAAACAGGGTGAATATGAACATGTATTACTAAACTTATGTGTTTAACTTATTTTATTGCTCTGACAGTAAGGCACAATAATTCTTAAATATGGATACAAAATTGATGCAAATGGTTCTGTAACAAAAAAGAGTGCACATATAATACTATTATTCCTCAGCTTTGAAATCATTTATAATAGTTTATATAATTAACAAATTATATGTACTTTTATATTACTATAAATACCTTAGTGGGTATGTACCTTTTCTTCTAACATCGATCTTTGGTGAAGAATATTAGACATGTTATGATGTTGCCTCCACAATTGCGCGGGTCACTATGCTAGTATACATAGAAGATGAAATGTTCCACTAATCCCTTGCAACCATGAGTTGGTAAAGTCCTCCTGTTTAGTTTCCTATATACACACAAAATCGACCTAAAACGTCTGAGATGGATTCTTGTAGATCCGTGATATATCCTACATCGCCCAGGACTGTGTCGAGCTCTACAAGCGTGATTTCCCCGGCCCGTCCGGCAGGGGCCTTCAGGCCTACCTCGAGTACCTCCCCATGCTCCTCTGGAGGTGTTGTGCACGCCACCGCTTGGCCAAGAGGATCAGTGAGCTCAAGGCCCGCGTCCATGACGTCGGCCAGAGGCGGGAGCGCTACGGCGTCATCATCCCCACGGTTGAGGAGGCCCCGCTGACGCTGGCCGAGGTCCTACCTAGCCAGGACAAGATCGACGAGGCCAGAGAAGAATTTGCACGTGCGCTAGCACGTGACAAGAAGAAGAAGAAGAAGAAGAAGCAGGAACTCCCTTTTTTTTTAAAGAGGCCATCCTCCTCATTAATAAGGATCTTCAATCGGCAGCCACTGATGTACGTAAGTGCCTCCTTAGTAATTTGTCGCAAGATCGGAGTGCGGCCGTCTGCATGGAGATGCTTCTCCGTGCTCTTCGGGATCATAGCAATGTCTACCAGGCGGTTGAGAAGACCAATGGAGAACTGAAGAAATTAGTCAAGGATGCTGGCATGGATATCAAAGATTTTCCCACTCAAGTGATGATCTTCTGCTACAGCAAGTTGTCTAGGAGTTACAAGAGCTGCTTGCAGTATCTCTATGCCTTCCACGAAGAAGCCACCATCAGCAGGACAAGCTTGGTCCGGCGATGGCTCGCTGAAGGCCGCGTGGAGAAGCAAGTTGATGATTCCCTCAAGGAGGTGGAGAAGCAAGTTGCTGCTTCCCTCGAGGAGGCAGCGGAGCTCTGCTTTAAAGATCTCCTCTTCCGGGGGTTCCTTCTTCCTGTCAACGACCCAACCACTGCCACCTGCAAGGTCAAGAGCTGCACAATTGATGACATCATCTGGAAGTTCCTCCATCGTATGTCCACAACTGATAACTTTGTGGACAACCTGCCGACTCACCTCCACTAGCAGATTCGCATCCGACGCTTTGTGAAACGGCAAGCAGAGCAACTACAGAAGAATCATCCACGACCACGACACCCTTGGAGCATCTGCGGCCGCGGGATGCCGCCGCCGGATGCAACACGGCGGTGGATCCTAATCCCATGGTTGACATGCTCAACTTCCTCGATTCTCTTCACCAAGCCTACCGGCTGAACGTGCTGGATCTTGGGGGCTGCAAGGGTCTACAAAAGAGCCACCTCAAGAGCATCTGCAAGGTGGTCTCGCTCAAGTACCTTAGCCTCCGGAAAGCAGATGTCTCCCACCTGCCCTGGGAGATCAACAATCTCATAATGTTGGAGACACTCGACATCTGGGAAACTAAGGTACGGGGCCGACACATGAACTACATTTACCTCCGAAAGCTAAAGCACCTACTTACCAGCCTGAAGATGAGGACGGAGGAGGAGACACTCTGCTGGGCGGGTATGCCTGGTAGGATTGGGAAGATGAAAGACATGGAGATACTATCAGTTAAAACCGAATAGATCGAGAGTATTTTTGCCGTACTTTGCCCAGCGTGGGGCTTTCTCATTATATAGACAACAACATATACATTGTTTGGAGTACAAGGCAAGGCTAGGATCACAACCGATCCTTGCCATAGTTAGGATATACACAATCCCTAAACAATAGGTACAGCTAACCAACGCTATCGCTTAACACTCCCCCTCAATCTGAACCGACGTGAACGAGATTTAGATTGGACTGAAATCGACGGAGGGTGAGATGAGTAGCGGGTTTAGTGAACATGTCAGCTAGTTGATCACTAGACGCGATGAACCGAACATCAAGAGCGCCCATGGCCACCTTCTCGCGAACGAAGTGGAAGTCAATCTCAATATGCTTGGTATGTGCATGGAAGACAGGATTCGCCGATAAGTACGTAGCGCCGAGGTTGTCACACCATAAAACCGGCGGTGTGGAGAGATGCACTCCAAGATCCCGCAGCACATACTGTATCCAAGTAGCCTCGGCAGTGCCATTAGCCAGGGCTTTGTATTCAGCTTCGGTACTCGAACGAGAGACAGTGGGTTGCTTACGAGAGCTCCAGGAGACAAGGTTTGGACCAAAGAAGATGGCGAAACCGCCAGTGGAGCGCCGATCATCTGAACAGCCAGCCCAATCAGCATCAGTGTAGATGTGGAGAGCACACGAAGGAGAACGTGCAAACTGCAGTCCCGTAGAGACAGTGCCCTTGACATACCGAAGGATACGCTTGACAGCTTCATAATGAACAGTGGTCGGTTGAGACAGAAACTGGCAAACTTTGTTGACAGCAAAAGAAATATCTGGCCGCGTCAAAGTGAGATACTGCAAACCCCCAACCAAACTCCGGTATTTAAAAGCATCGTCAGCAGAAAGCACAATACCAGCAGCACGAGAGAGTTTATCCGTGGATGACATGGGGGTGGTAACTGAACGACAACTCTCCATGTTAGCACGATGCAGAAGATCAAGGGCATACTTATGCTGAGTAAGAAGTAGACCAGAAGAACGATATTGAGCCTCAATACCGAGAAAATACTCCAAACGCCCAAGATCCTTGATAGGAAAAGTGCCGGCGAGAGTCTGAATAAGGCGATCAACAGCAGCAGCCGAAGAACCAGCGATAACAATGTCATCAACATACACCAACATGAATACCTGAACACCTTGATGATCGAAGATGATCAGAGAGGTATCTGCTTTGCTGGAAACAAAACCAAGCTGATGAAGTTTATCACTTAAACGGGCATACCAGGCGCGATGAGACTGCTTCAAACCATACAAAGCACGCTGAAGTTTGCAAACATGTCGCGGATACCGAGGATCCTCAAAACCAGGAGGCTGCTGCATATACACGTCCTCAGACAAGAAACCATGGAGAAACGCATTACTGACATCAATCTGGCGAAGACACCATCCACGCGACACGGCGAGGGAGAGCACAAGACGAACAGTGACAGGTTTGACCACCGGACTGAAGGTGTCATGATAATCGATGCCATACTGCTGAGTGAAACCACGAGCAACGAGACGGGCTTTGTATTTATCAACAGAGCCATCAGGGCGAAACTTCGTCTTGAATATCCATTTACTGCCAACAATGTTAGTACCGGGGGGTCGAGGGACAAGTACCCATGTGTGAGTCCGCTGAAGGGCGTCGAACTCTGCCTCCATGGCGGTCCTCCATGCAGGTTCCGAAAGAGCAACCCGATGCGTCGCCGGAACAGCAAGAAATGCTCCGCGGCGATACGGGTCATACCGGACCATACCGTCCGTCCACACCTTCGGACGGAACACATTGTTGCGCTGCCGTGTCGTCATAGGTTGAGGTGCTGTCGGAGTAGCAGGCGGCACTGAGGATGTCGCAGAGGAGACATCGGCAGAGGGTGGCGGCGAAAGATCCTCCCCCTGGTCGAGTACAGGGGAGCTGGCCACTGGAGAAATCGATCCAGCATCCACGCCGGGCCCAGTAGCGGCAGTGGGCGACTGTGGCCCATGAAGCGGAGCTCGGCGAGGACGAGGCAGTGGCCAGGCATGGGCTGGCGGGCCGAGGCGAAGCACTGGGCGCCTCGGGGGGCGGGACATGCACATGCACGTCAGCCGTTCCTGCGTCGTGTACGTTGATCGCCCGGGCTGGTACCTGAACAGAAACAACAGAAGAAACACCAGGAGCATCAACGGGTAACAAGGACATGTCATAATTACGTGCATGATCATTCTGAACAACTGGTTCTTTCGGAGGAAAAGATACAGGTAGGAGCTGAGACACGTCGACCACCGCACCTAGAGTGGCAAACGGAAAAACATTCTCGTCGAAAGCAACATCGCGAGATATGTAGATGCGACCGGTACTGCAATCGAGGCATTTGTAGCCTTTGTGCATAGGACTATATCCAAGAAACACGCACATTTTGGAGCGAAACTCTAACTTACGGGAGTTATATTTTCGAAGGCTAGGCCAGCATGCGCATCCAAACGTACGGAGGAAGGAGTACTCGGGGGCTATGTTGAGAAGACGAAAGAGAGGAGTGGCATGATTAATGACTGGGGTAGGCATTCTATTGATAAGATAACATGCGGTGAGGAATGCTTCATCCCAGTACCGGAGGGGAAGAGAGGAATGCGCAAGGAGAGCTAGCCCAGTCTCGACAAGATGTTGATGCTTCCGTTCAGCAATACCGTTTTGTTGAGATGTATGAGGACACGACACACGGTGGGAAATACCGGTGCGCTGGAAATAGGCATGGAGACGGTGATACTCACCGCCCCAATCAGACTGCACGGCGCGAATAGTGGTGTTTAAGAGGCGCTCAACGTGCTTCTGAAACACATAGAAAACATTCTCAACATCGGATTTATGCTTAAGCAAGTATATCCAATAGTAGCGACTATAGTCATCAATAAAACTAACGTAGTATTTAAAACCCCCAGAAGAGGATAACGCCGGACCCCAAACATCGGTATGAACAAGCTCAAGAGGTGCAGTAGACACACGAGTGGAATAACCATAAGGCAATTGATGACTCTTAGCACGCTGACAAGCATCACAAATAAAAGACTCATTGTTTGGAGTACACGGGAGATTATTGGACTTGATAGTGGTTTGAACTACTTTATTCGACGGATGACCAAGACGCTGGTGCCGGTGGTGCGATGAAAGCTTGACACCAGAAGACGCATGCTTCTCATGATGGGAGGCTCGACCGAACGGAAGAGGATAAAGGCCGCCACGACTCCTACCGCGAAGGAGGATTTTCTTCGTTACCTTGTCCTTAACAAGAAAGAAATATTTGTGAAATTCGAGGAAGATGTTATTGTCAGAAACAAGGCGATAAACGGAGAGTAAATTTTTGGCTAACGAAGGGACATGGAGGATATTGTTCAAGGCTAGGGAAGAACCAGCTAAACGAGATTGACCAATGTGCGTAATAGACATACCTGAGCCGTTTGCTGTTTGAACCTGGTCCTTCCCGTGGTAGCGTTCATGGATGCCTAGCCGGTCCATGTCATTGGTGAGATGATCGGTTGCCCCGGTGTCGAAAAACCACGGCTGTGTCTGGGGCACCCGCTCGTTGTGGCTGTGGGTGGAGGCGGCCGCATTGCCGGAGCGCTGTCCATCGGCCTGAAAGGCGTCGTTGTAGCGATTCTTGCAGGAGAGGGCCTCATGACCCCATGCCTTGCAGACCTGACAACGTGGGCGCCAGCGACGGTTGCCACCACCACTGCCGCCGCCTTGTCCGCCGGTACCACCGCCGCCGTTGCGGTTTGTGTTGCGGTTAGCTTCCTGGCCACCGTTGTAGGAGCCGCCGCTGCCATAGTGGCCACCACCGTGTTGGCCACCGCTGCCATGCGAAGGGGCACCACCAGAGCGCCCGGTGTTGTCGAAAGGGCGGCCTCCACCGCGGCTGCTGTCACCCTGCCGAGCCGCGGCGTTCGCCGAGGAGGAGTATCCGCCGGCCTGGGCGTTCTGCACCTGGATCGCCTCACAAGACAGCAACATGGGGTAAAATTCAGAGAGAGACAGGGAGGCATTGGCGGCACCGAGAACGGCGAGAGCCTGCTGAAGTGCCTCGAATTGGGATCCGAGGCCAACAACGATGTAGTCGATCAGTTCATCATCGGGGACGGGGGAGCCCGCCATTGCCATGGCGTCGGCAAACCCCTTCATCTTGCTGTAGTAGTCGGCGGCGGACATGTCGTTCTTCTTTAATGTCATCAGCTGGCGACGGATCTGACGGATCCCGGCCCGATTTTGGGCGGAAAACAGGTCGGTGACGCAGCCCCAGACCGAAGCCGACGTGGTGCGCCCGACCATCTGCGCGAGGATGTCCTCGCTCATCGATCCGACAAGGATCGAGAGGACACGCTGGTCGGCGTACCACCAACGCGCAAACTCCGGGTTGGCCGCCGTGGTGGCGGTGTCCCCGCTCCCCGTGGTGATGGTGGCGGGAGGGCAGGCGCAAGACCCGTCCAGGAAGCCATACCACCCTTGGCCGGCAATGGCAGGCACGACCTGGGTTTTCCACAGGAGATAGTTGGAGCGATCTAAACGGACGGTAATGGTGTTGTTGAAAGTGGTAGGGAGGGTGGTGGGGATGGAGGTGGCAACGCCGGCGGCTAAGGAAGCGGAAGAGGAGGAGGTGATCGCGCCGGCGGTGCCAGAGAGCTGCGGCGCGAGCGTAGTCATTGTGTGCAGCCTCGGGAGATTGGATCGGAACGATCGCTCTGTTACCGAGTTAAAACCGAATAGATCGAGAGTATTTTCGCCGTACTTTGCCCAGCGTGGGGCTTTCTCATTATATAGACAACAACATATACATTGTTTGGAGTACAAGGCAAGGCTAGGATCACAACCGATCCTTGCCATAGTTAGGATATACACAATCCCTAAACAATAGGTACAGCTAACCAACGCTATCGCTTAACACTATCCCGGGTCAAGGTTTGGTATGGCAAGAAGGAATTCGAAGAAGTTGGCCGCCTGCTGAAGCTTAGGAAGCTGGGCGTGGTTCTCGTCCATAGCCAAAGCCAAGCTCAATACAGCATGGACAATCTACTCCAAGCAATCGCCAAGCTGAGAGAGTGCTTACGCTCTCTCTCAATATGGGTCACTCCACCACCCACAAATGGAGACCATAGTGTCACTCTGAATATGGAGATGACATCGGAGCAAAGTGCACCCAGGTTACTCAAGAGCCTGAATATCAAGGGCGTGCGCTTTCCCAACTCCGGGCTGCCTCGCTGGATCTGCGAGCTACATCTACTCTCTGAGATTACACTGTGGAACACTTTTCTATCTACAGACTCTCTGCAGGACCTTGGCAACAATCTCCATCACTTGCGCTGCCTTCGGCTCCGTCACAACTCGTACAACGAGCACAAGCTCACCTTCAGCAAGGATGGATTCCAAGACCTCAGGTTTCTCATCATCGAGGGCGACACCATCACCACCGTCGACTTTGAAGAAGACAGCACAACACATTTACCTCAACTCAAAAAGATCCTTTGGCGCAACATGGCCGTCAACAAGGAAGCACCTTGCCCTCGGCTCAAGAAGATTGTTTGGCGCAACATGGCCATCAATCAGGCGGGCACGCTTTCTGGAATCTGCCACCTTGACATGTTGAAAGAGGTGGAGCTCAAGGGCCACTTCACCGACTCGAGCATCATTCCGCACAGCAATGGGTGCAAACCGAGGCATGAGCCATGAGCTATGTGTTGCGTGACCGATTCTCTCTCAATCTATTTGTGTGTCGTGCCTGAATAAGTATGTGTGCATGTAAACGTATGTGTGCATGAAAATGTATGTGTGCATGCTTGTTACGTAATTGGTTGTGATTTACTTTGATATGTGTATCGACGACCTTGCTGTCGGATG